ACAGCCTCAATCAACACATCAATGACTTTCCAAGGTATAGCAGGTGGCACTTTAACCAAATATTTTACATTAAATATCTAGGGTCACCTTTCCAGTCTGCAAATATCCAGGTTCTTTTTTTTTTTTTAAGATTTTATTTATTTATTTGACAGAGAGAAAGAGTAGGAGGGGCAGAGGGAGAAGCAGACTCCCTGCTGAGGAGGGAGCCCAATGTGGGGCTCAATCCCAGGACCCTGAGATCATGACCTGAGCTGAAGGCAGACACCTAACCAGCTGAGCCACCCAGGAACCCCAAATATCTAGGTTCTTGACATCTGCTTCCCTCCCTTCTTTTCTCATCCTATTCCATGTTTTAGATTCTATTACTTTTCATTCCCTCAATTCTGGGTATCATGTTGTGTTATTTGTTTGGGGGTTAATTCGGCTAGTTAGCTGGATTTGGAAAAATCCAAATAACAATGATTAAACAACATGGGGATTTATTTTTTTCTTTTCATTTCTGTTCTTCACGTAAGTAATGCTGATGGAAGCCCCATCCAGCAATCTCTACTTTCATCCCATTGGCCAGAACTATGCTGTATACTATCAAAAGGCCGAGTTTTAGTTGAATATATCATGCCCAACAAAATGAAGGGAAAATGAGAGAATGGCTATTAGATAGAAAGTCACTGGCTTCTGACACAAGGTCCCTATTTATTTGTTATGCGAGGCCCATTGGTGGTAATGGAGCAGTGGTTACAGGACAGATCGAAGTCTACACAGCCAAATCTGATGAGACTTAAAATTAGCCTCTCGAGGCCTTAATTAGCCACTCTGATTTTGTCATTTATCTGAGTTTCCAAAAAGGATATACTAATAATATCTCCCTACAGTATTGTTGTGGCAATTAAATAAGGTAATCCTTGGAAAGTGCTCATATAGAACAGTGTCTGAGTGTGGTTATGCTCAGAAAACATTAACCATTAGCCAGTGTTGGTAAAAGTAGGGTCAGATGCCTTTGATTTATAGAGAAGGAGACAATAGGGAAGCATCTAGCTTAGTGGGGGCATTTCCCCCTTATTCTCTCTTTCGTAGCCATACCTATCCACATGCCTATCCCTAGGCAGCCAAGCAGGCTCTCACCTCAGGGCCTTTACACTTGCTGTCCCTCAGCAGGGAACAGCCCCTCTACAGAGATTCTCTCATCTCAGCCCTTCACTTTGTTTCGGTCTCTTCTCAGATGGCCTTTCTTAATCCCTTCATATCTCCATCATTCACTACGCTCTGATGCTACCATAATTCTCTTCATAATATCAATACCCATCTGACATAATAGTATTTTATGTTTACTAATTTGCCACCATCACAATACAGGCTTCATGAGGGTCTGTAAGAACACTGTTTGGTTTAGGACCCTGCGTATGACAGGCACTCAATGAACATCTGTTGAATGAATAGTAAATATTTAATCAACATTAGTTTACTTCCAAAATGTGAGATTTTCTTTTACTGGACACAAATAAAAAATAAAATAAAATAAAATGTGAGATTTTCTAAAAGTCAAAAGAGGAATCTAGTCCAGAAGAAAAGAAAACTAAGGAACTTGAAACTTAGCAGAGTTCAGAATAGGTGGACATCGTGAATTCAGGATGATCACAAGAGGGAGTTCATATGAGACAGCCCAAATTAAATCTGTCTTCGAATAAGGTCCTGGATAAACCCAAGGACCCTTCTGTGCACCCCTCTGACAGTTTCAGGGTTTAGCCTCTGGATTTCAGGTGACTCTCGGGATGACTTTGGTCAGATGATTTGTTTCACTTCGTTTGGTGTTTCTCCATCTTTTGCATTATTGTCCTGCTCTCCTCACCCTGGAGCAAAAACTTAATTTAAATTCTACTACAAAATATTAGATACTAAGGGGTAAGATTCTGTCATATAGAATTGAGTTATGCAGGCAGGCGCTACCATTATAATATTTAAGACTTGTTGGACTCCTCATTCCAGAACTACGTTTCACCCCCTTGTGGGTGATATTGCCCTACTGGACACGCATAGCGTAGCTGAAAGAGGACCTGAGAAAGATGGTAGATTCTAAACACAGTATCAAAATCTTTTAAAAAGCATTCATTCTCAATTTTGAATGGCTAAGGCTGTCAGCTTCAGGCAAGTCAAAATTAATTTAAATTATCATGGCTATTTGCTTTGAGATGGGACTCTAATTGGAGAATTACATATGATAGATAAAAGTGAACTGGAACATTCTGCGGACCTTCATGTCCACAAATTCTGCTCCTGTTGAAATTGATCTTCAAGATGAGAAGCATTTAGACCTCAGCACAGATCAGCCACTGAGGGATATTGGTATTTGTAACTATTTGCAGGTTTCTGGCCTGCTGTATCTTCTCTAGGTCAATGTTTTGTTCACTGGGATGTTTCCTTGGATGTTGTGAAAGAACCACTCATTTTATAGTATTGCAAAATCGTGTATTTTTTCTTATGGTCAGAGTCATCTCAAATCATTATAGTAGATTGGAATGCTTCTACTCCCCTTGGTTATAGAAATAGGAAAAGGAGTTGATAGAATAGGGGGCTGGAAGGATTACTGGAAAATTCCCAATGACAGGTATGGAATTCAAAAGTTACATAGCCCATGAGCACCAAAATAAGACTAAATGTCTTAAAATAATTTTTCTTGTTCTCAAAATTCCTTCCCTGCCTCCACAACATTCCCAGCAGTCAGGATGATGTCTCCTGACCCCAGTCCAAGGTGAGCCAGTCAGCTCAATCAGCTATGAATTTCTTCAGGGCAAGGAATTTGCCTTATTGATGGTATATTTTCAGTGCCAAGTTCAAAGCCTGGTTCTTAATTGATGTTCAGTAAATATGTATTGAATGACTACAATTCGACAGCAAGAAGAAAAATTCTCTAGGGTTTTCTTCAATCAGGTTTATTTAAAGAGCAACTTACCTAAGATATTTACCCTGTTTTCATAGTTATGGGACCATCTGAACTGTGACTAATAGCCTGAATCATTGACCATTAAAATTGTAATTTAAAGGATATTTAAAAAAATTGTTTTAAATGATCAAGAGTCTACAAGTTGATGGCACTGTGCTGGGGTAGGGAGTACACCAATGAATGGGACACTGTCACTGTATTTAAGGACCTCACTGTTGAGTTTGACAGACCTTGGAGGTCACTTAGCTTAACTTTCTCATTTTACAGATGAGAAAACGGAGACTCATAAAGATTGCTAGGCCTGATGGAAAATGTTTTGATTTATTCATAAGATTTTAATATGTCTGTGTGGAGTCACTTTGCAGTGAGAGGTGTTACTTATTTTGGCCAAAGGGAACATTCAGTTTTAGTACATTTATGGATTATCTTTTCTTTGATCTTACATTTCTTTTTTAATAGGCATGTGATTATGTAGATGATATTTGCTAAGCTTTTGATTTATTTGGAACCAATTAATAGCTGGCACTCGAGTTCTTTGGAAGCTCAAAACTTGCTATATTGGAAATTTCTTTACGGTGATTGAGTAATAAGGTCGTGTGTTATTGACATGGCTTCTGACACCTAGCCCATTTATTATTATTCCTTGTTAAATCACTTCCTGAGAAGGCTAGAGAATGTTTTCCATCTTAGATGCCATAGTTTATGTTGACTTTCTCTGGGAGAAAGTGAAATTCAGAGAAGAGAATGAAAAGAGTCATTTTTCTGTGTTTACGAAGGATGGAGCTGAAAATTTTCTTTGGTGGATGGGCAGTGGAATTCAATTAGCCTTTCATTGTGGGGATATATTGTGTGCCAGGCACCATGCAGAATTCAGGGGGCTGGATGGCTGCCAGCTCTCATAGGGGAGACCTGCCTCCCGCAGCTGGCAATGCAGGGGGGATGCATCAAGGGTGGTCAAGGGCGAGCCACGGGCAGGCCAAGTCTCCTCACCTAGAAGCATGGAGAAATATTTCTTTGGAGGAGATAGCTATGGGGTTGGACTAAGAGTAGGTCAGTCCCAACAGTTAACCAAAAGAGAAGCGACTAAGAGCTGCACAGTGCATAGGGACGCGATCCCCTCTGAGGCTGCGTGATCAAGACGGAATGATGGCTGAGCTTAGGAAGGTTCTTGTCCTAAGCCAGAGCCTGAATCTCTCTGTGCTTTTAATTGGCTCTTCCTCTTCCGGGCATCACTGTCAGTGCTGGAATGGAGAGCCTTCCTGTGTATGCTGTTGAGCTGATCAAAGCAAATGGACGTAGATTTTAACTTCCTAAAAATGTAAGCTCTTACATGTGTCTTCCAAGGAGTCTTTCACTTGGCCTCCTGGTTGGAGATGAGTTTGATGGGAGTTGTTTTAGAGAAAGTCATCTTATTTCCCTGATGATCAGGAAAACTTCCTGGAGAAAGTCATTGTTCCAGAGGTTTCTGTCTGGGGGAAGGGTGCATATGTGTGTGTGCGTCTGTGTATCTGTGTGTCTGTGTCTGTCAGTACGTCTGTGCATACAGGATGGAGGGATCTTAGCTGGGGAGCGAGGAGAGGCATGAGTTTCCTGGCTCACAAAAGCAAACATAGTCCTTCTGTGTTACAGGAGGCCATGTGGTCTGTATCAGAGGGCTCACTTTTGTGACCGAGATTTTTTGTTTTTTCCTCTTCCAGGCCTGAATGGGACCAGGTGAGGTCATGCTGTGGCTGCTGGAGGAATACTGCATTTCCGGGTCGTTTGCACGGGCCCTGCTGTGAAGGGAGCCCCACGAGAACTTGTCAGACGCTTCCTTCCTTCTCTTGCAGAGCGCTCCAGGCCCAGCGGCTGTTCCCCTGCTGCTCTGATTGTGTCCTCTCCTCCTCTTGCCAAAGCAAACAGCCCGGTCTGGAGTAGGCATCCTGTAGGCTCATCTGCCAGCCTGAACATGAACACAGGCAAAGCCGATGACAGCCAGGGTTCCCAAGGGACATGGGGCCTTCCGGGGTCCAGCCCGCAGAAGCAGGTCCTCTCATGATGTTGGCGTCTGGGAGTGAGCACCATGCCCATCACCCAGGACAATGCCATGCTGCACCTGCCCCTCCTCTACCAGTGGCTGCAGAACAGCCTGCGGGAGGGCGGGGATGGCCCCGAGCAGCGGCTCTGCCAGGCGGCCATCCAGAAGCTGCAGGAGTACATCCAGCTGAACTTTGCCGTGGATGAGAGCGCCATCCCACCCGACCGCAGCCCCCCGGGGATGGAAATCTGCACTGTGTACCTCACCAAGGAGCTGGGGGACGCAGAGACTGTGGGCCTCAGTTTTGGGAACATCCCTGTTTTCGGGGACTACGGAGAAAAGCGCAGAGGGGGCAAGAAGAGGAAGACCCACCAGGGCCCTGTACTGGACGTTGGCTGCATCTGGGTGACAGAGCTGAGGAAGAACAGCCCGGCCGGGAAGAGCGGGAAGGTCCGACTGCGAGATGAGATCCTCTCCCTGAACGGGCAGCTGATGGTCGGAGTTGATGTCAGTGGGGCCAGGTGAGTGGGGGAGCGCCAGTTGGCGCAAGGGCTGGACGGGGGACCCCTGGGGCTAACTTACGTCTGCTGCTCCAGTCTGTAGCTGCAGAGGGTTATGAGGCCTGCTCTGGTAAGAAGCCAATGGCATTTGTCCTCTAAAGGGAAAATGCACTAAGCTGAAGTATTGTGGTATTTGTATTTTTCTTTTTTGCTTTGTTCTCTTAGAGGACTCAGACTCACTTTTCTTTTTTCTTGAAACTTGGGTTAGAAATAAAATAAAATGGTGCATGACACAAGAGTATGCGAAATGTCACATTGAGTTAGACCCTCTTCCATTCAACCCAGCATCTCCCCTCCAGTTAGAGCACCAAAGGTTAGGTCCTGGATATATTTCTATCTGCCCATCATAGTCCAGAAGCCCCTTGAGATGCTTCGAACTGTCTTTGGACCACCAGCCACCCCTGCCCTCGGCCCCAGTTTCTCCATCCTGGAAGATCCACTTGGGTAATGAGCATATGTCTGTTTTTCACCTCTGTGGCCACCCATCATGGCAGTAAGTAATGGCTGGACTCTTGTTTCCCAGGTGGATCCGAATCCCCAAGACCACCCTCAGACTCAGCGATTTACTAGAAGGATTCAAAGGACTCAGAAAAACTCAGGTTACAATTTATTACAGTGAAAAACATACAGATTAAAGTCAGCAAAGGTAGGGGCGCCTGGGTGGCTCAGTGGATTAAAGCCTCTGCCTTCAGCTCAGGTCATGATCCCAGGGTCCTGGGATCGAGCCCCGCATCTGGCTCTCTGCTCAGCAGGGAGCCTGCTTCCTCCTCTCTCCTCTCTGCTTGCCTCTCTGCCTACTTGTGATCTCTCTCTGTCAAATAAATAAATAAAATCTTTAAATAAATAAATAAATAAATAAATAAAGTCAGCAAAGGTAAAAGTTACACTGCGTGGGGTTCCGGAATGAGAACAGGTGCGAGCTCCCAGTTGTCCCTCCCAGTAGAGTTGTACAGAAGTGCTCAATTCTCCCAGCAGTGACGTGTGACAACATCTGTGGAGTGTTGTCAACCAGGAAAGCTCATAGCCTTGGCATCAGGGTTTTTCTTGGGGGTCAGTCACCCAGACATGGAGTCCTATGTAGCTGGCCTTAGTTACTCAGTGTCTAGTTCTTCCAGATTTCAAACTAATGCCACATGGCCAGTTGCCCCTGTCATAAATCACATTATTAACATAAACTATCTGGTATTAGGCAGAATATTCCAAGGGTATAGAGGTTACCTCCCAGGAGTTAGTCAAGAACCAGTTCTTTCTTTGGAATGTACATGGGTTGAATATCCCAAATTTGCTGTGTTAACCCTTTACTGCACACCAGGGTTTTAGAAACAGTTATATATGGAAGAGAGAAGAAAAGAGAAGTTTGAAGATATTCTGAGATGCATAACTTTTGTCAAGCCTTCACAGGCTCATGTGGAGGAGCACTCCTATGTCCCAAGAGTAGAGAATCATAGAAAGAGGTCACCTTGAGAATCATGGTGACCTTTCACTGAGGAAGCCATCTAAACCAAGGAGACCCTGAGGGGAAGAAGCCAGAGCAGAAGTATCTTAAATTTAATCTTCTCCTTCCCTTCAGTCTTCTACCAGACTTTACATTAGCAGAAACCAGCTAGAAGCCAATGGCAAGGAAGCCCATTGAGACTGTCCATATTTGTCAACCTGGGCTAAAGGGCAGGGTGGAGAATGGTGGAGAGTGGACATGGAGGGGCAAGAAGAAGTGATCAGGCTCATATACTGTGTTCTAAGTTTAAGTGAGCCAATGCGTGGAATAGTCCTGGCACAGGGATGGCTGGCGTGTTGTGAGTGCTTACTCAGCTGACTCTCATCAGTATTCTCTTTGGGTTGCCTCTCTGACTGAAAAGATATTCTTGGCTCCTAGCTGGGTCCTGAACTGATAGTTATTGGGAGAAGCTTCATTTACAAGGAAGGGTGTTGAAGAGAAAGGATATTATTTAAAATTAGAAATTGTTCTTAAAAAAGAAACAGGACTGGACACTATAGTATTTGTTGGTGTTGAGAAGATGACTCCAGTCCCTGGTGGCTGGGTCCTCAGGGTTAGAAGCAGGGATCAACATGGAGCTTGAGGCGGCCCTCCCAGAGCTGCCCCTGAGAGTCCCCACCATTTGCAGCTGTCAGCTTTGAGGGGAGCTGCTTTGGATGCAGAGGTAGAAGGATGATCAGGGAGGGGACATCCAGCAGGAGAGCATAATGGTCAAGAACTCCAGTCTGGAACCATACAGCTAGTGCTACCTCCCCAGGCTCCCACACGTACAAGCTTGTTGACCTTGGAGAAATCATCCCTCTTAGCATCGGATTCCCTGTCTGTGACATGGGAATGGGGACACTGTTGATCCAATGACTAAATGATGCAATAATGCATATAAAGGGCTCAGCCCTATGTTTAGTACATAGCTCAATAACACATTAGCTTCACAATGACTGTTGTACATGGACAGTGTTTGGAAAGACTGGGAGTTTCCGATCCAAGAGGTTGCTCGAGTCTTTAGGATTTGGAAGACTTTTTCCATACTGGATAAATTTCCTCATATCTGTTCAGGAAGCTCTTCCCATTGCCTGCTTAAGGCTGTGGAGTCTTTATGAGACAAAGTTCTCTGTCCCAGGCTCTGAAAGCAGATATGATCCTGAAATGAGAAGGCTTTCCAGCTACCAGGAGAAGATTCTTTGGTGATTTTAATTTATTCCTTGGAGGATGATATCCATTTTTTTGTTTTTTCCAAAGAAAGAAGATACAGAAGAATAGAAAGGTGATGGGCCCAGGGTCATGACAGAAAGTGGGACGGAAAACTAGACTCCTTAATGGAGGCTCCAAGGAGGGAGCAAATAGGTGTGGCGGGGGAAGCAGTAAACTGAGTCTGGGATTCTGGGTTCTCACCACAGGTCTTCTAGCCATTAGCTCTGAGACCTGTGTGTAAGTGCGTTGGGATGATGGACTGTGGGAGGGAGGGAGGTGACCTGCAGCCACCTATGCTAACATGTTAGGAGTGAATCTCTGAAACATTTCATTTGACCCATCTGAGCTGGTTTTATCATTCTAGAAGCTCACAGAGGTGAAGCAATGTTCCCGTGACGTCACAGTGATAACTGGCCGAGCTGAGAGACTCAGTCTCCCTCTTCTGACTCTCAGCTGGGAGTGGTACCTGATTCAGCACACCATTCCACTTCTGTGTGCTCAGGAAGAGAGGCTCGGATGGATGTGGTCAGCAGGCATCTGGACTGAAAGAGCTAAAGCTGAGGAGCTTGGAGAGTGGAAATATGAGAAAGGGTTGGGGAACAGGTCTGTAAGATGGCTAATTGTTATGCCTGGGTGTTGTCAAACGTAGCTGGGATTTGTTTTACTCAAGTATGGTAAGACATGTGGATAGGAAAATACTGTCATAAAGGGAGAAGTTTACACTCACAGATCCCTAGAAGCAGGAGGAACTTCACACCACACAGGGCTACATGGAGAAACACCAGTGTCAGTCAGGAGGCAGGGGGAGAAGCGGGGAGAGCATGGCCCAAAGCCTTTATTAGGGTTTTCAAGTTTTCAAGGGAAGGTTTGGGTGAAGCATGGTAGCTACTCTGAGCAGTCTTGGGATTTGGTAGTTTGAATAATTACAGCAGATTCTGAGCTATAGGATGGTCTCTGGTTGTCTAGTGGCTCTCCCGGGGAGACTTAGGAGCAATAATGTCTTGCTGTATGAGAGTCTGACAAAGGAGAGAGTTGGGGTGTGGGCTCTGGATTGGTGGATTTGTATATCAAAGGCACACTCTCAGGGGAGTTGTTTGCTATTTCTAGGAGTTGGCTAAGCCCTAGGAGGGTCAGTCTCTCTGGGATCAAGGCCCAAATGCTAGAACATCAAGAATACAGAAAATAAGGAAATAATGGTCACTGCACTGGGCTTCTGGAAATTTTCCACAGCAGAGGAAATAAATCTCCCAAACATAACTTTCTCACTAGTGAACAGTCCTGTCTCTAAAATTCCTCTCTCTGATGGTACAGTCACGTGTGATTACTGGATGGTGAAGATCTCCCCAGAAGCCACAGAGATGCAAGGGTGATAGAAGGAAAAGACCAGGACCCACTGGTTGGTCTTCAAAAGAGGTATGAAAATGAATCAAGTAATGAGGAAGGACTCCCAGAGTCCTGGGCTCCCAATACTCATAACAACCAAGAGGTTAACAAGACAGAAGGAGACTAAGTTCAATTTTCCAAGGTTCCCTGCCTAGTTCTCTGGTACAATTATAAGAAGTACCATTGGTTAAGCAGTTGCTACCACCGTGGACATTCTGCCATCTATTATCTCATTTTAGACCTATCACAACTCTATGAAGGATAGCTTTAGATGAGAAACCTTGGCCACAGAGGCCATGTAACTTGCCCAAGGTCACCTAAGGAAGAGACAGAACCAGATCTGCTACCATGGTCTGTGCTCCTACCTCCTGTGCTATACTACCTCATCTCTGCCCCAGAGGTAGACACTGGTCCTTGCCACATGGTCTGGGGCTGAATTTCACAGATGGTTTTCAGCTTCACAAAATACTCTGCAGTCTAATGGCAGACACCAGGGAAGAAAATGACTAGAACACTCTAAGGCTTAGCCCTACCTAAACTGACAAGGAAAACTGAAGCCCCTCCCCCAATCTTATAAAAGGAAACCCAATTTTAATATAGAATCTTTTTGGCAAACATAACTACGCAGAACTTTAGGACTAGAAGCACTTTGAGATTAAGTATCAAGGAATTTAAAGTGTTTTGAATGTTCTCAAGATGCTCCTTTTCACTCTGTAACTGGCTAACAGTTTCCTTCAACACTAAATTTTTCCACATACCTGTGTAGGTTTTGCCATAAAAACTGGTGAATACAAATTAGGGTTTTGTAGAGACCCCAGTGTATCTCTGCAAAAAGCAACCTCAATTAATGTGTATCCCCTTACTTGTAAGCATAAGATCCCAGGTGTCTGTG